CCAGCCCCTCCCCGCGTTCGTAGGATTGGGCAGGGCAGGGCTGGCCTGGCCTGTCGCTGTGCTCTAGCTGCAGCTTAGGCTGCCGCGCACATACAGCGCGGGCGGGGCTCAGTCTGCTCCTAGGAACCTGCTGCCCCCTTCTTTTCTAGAGCTGTCACAATTGCAGCACCGCTGGTTAAGCCTTCACCTCCCTCCCTCGGGCCCCCCCCGCGTCATAATTTTGCCAGGTTTGACTGTTCTGAGAACATCGCCAGTGAAAAGGGAGATGCAGAAGTGGCCACTGCCACATCCCTATCCACCACCTGTCCGAGCCTGGCAGCATTGACCTCTAAGTGTCTATGAAGGGCTTAGTTCTGAACCCCAGGAAGGGCTGGTTTTGCCATACAACTATCGCTTCATAAACAATGAATTTATACTCTTCTAACGTTCTGTTCTTATAATAATTAAACTGCCTCAGGCTCTTAGAAAAAAGTTGAAATCAGCAAACAATGGCACAATATTACATAAAGCATTTGATCTGATTTGACGTGTACTTCAATGTGTCTTAACTGTAAGCACATTAGTCCCTTTGAAGTCAACAGGAACACTCACATGTTGAACCAGGGAAAATTAACAAGATGGTCGATATACTCAGAGAATAAAGGTGAAAGAGGTGAAATTGGAAGAACAAAATTTAAAAATAAAGTGGGAGTTCTTTTTCCTCAGTATCTTCTTGCCTGTTTTGACTGTCAAGAATAAACTTTTTCATGTTTGAACAGCACTAAATACAATGGAGCTCCCACCCGAGTAGCATTTTAAAATGGGAATGTCAAAATGCACTACTGTAGCAGGGTTCACCGGACCAGTTTGTGCCCTGTATATTCCCACCTGCCCACTGACTAGCCCTGTAGACAAGCCTTCAGTAAAGTGTCTAGACTGCATCCCTTTTCTGTAAAAGGGATGCAAATTAGACACATCACAATTGCAAATGAAGTGGGGATTTAAATCCCCCCCGCTTCATTTGCATAAACATGGCTGCCGCTTTTTTCTGGCTCGGAGCTTTGCCGGAAAAAAGCGCCAGTCTAGACACGGATATTTAGGAAAATAAAGCCTTTTCCGAAAGATCCCTTATTCCTCTTAAAAAAATGCTTTTGCGGAAAAGGAATGCAGTCTCGACACAGCCAAGATGTTGAGCCCATCATAGGCATTTGAACAGTGTTTCTTAAACTGTGTTCCGTGGCACACCAGTGTGCCATGAGGCAGTCAGAGGTGTGCCACGGAGAAAAACAGAATTCAAAATGACCACCCTTAAAGGGGCAGGCAAAATTTTCTCTCTCAATAACTTTCCCCCCAACCCTTTTTTCCCCCCTCAATAACTCCCCCCCTCCAACAAAAATCCTTGGTGTTCCTCATTAAAAAAAATATATTGTTTGGTGTTCCTTAGTCTGAAAGTTTAAGAAACACTGCATTAGAAGATGCTCTTAGAGGATGAATACTCTGGCCTGGCCAGTTACTAGGCATGAACAGGTGGCTTTTTTGACATGTGAAAAGGAAATTGTATAAAAAGTTGCATGATAAAAGGCCTCAAAAACAGTAAAAGGTTGGAAAAAAAAAAAGGGTAACATTTTTAAAATTACATAATGAATTTTGCAGAACCATAAGAAATTGAAAAGAAAATGCTATCAACTTCTATTACGATAGAATATTATATAGGAAATATGACAAGAAATGCCCCTTCATAAAGTTTGCTCCTTGTGTGATCTTGTATACCAAATGTTAAAAAGTGTAGTCTGAAAAGATTTTTTCTTGGTCATGGAAGTACTTATATTATCAACAGAATTGTTTTAATGGTTCTTATTAACCAAAGATGAAACGAGTCAATGGTTTGCAAAGCCAAATATATTTACTTATTACTTTGTCACTACAATAAAATATTCACAAGCTATACAAAAAGGCTTTGAAACAGACAGTAAAACATGTGCATTTAATAACACTGCACTTCAGTTACACTGGATCCTGGAAGAAGGAATTCCCAGCACAACTTCATTATCTGCTTAATTGCAGAGCAGTTTCCATTAGACATACACATTCACAGTATTCAAACTCATTTGGTCCACCATCTAATGCTTATTCCCTTCAGTCATGCAAATGTGTAAGTCCAGTTGCCTGCCATAAGAAGCAGGCATTTACCTACAAATAAATGATAAAAATAAGTTTTTGCATTTATACTACATAAAACAGCCATTTTAAAGAAAGAAAATAGCAATTCATAGAAATACAGACTAAATTAGTGTTGCATAGATCCTTTTAAAATATAGCCACCATTTTTGAGTTATGCCAAAAATATTCAAGTTATCTACATCTTATACATTTAATATACTTCATTATGCTGCGATACAAAAGAACTGTTGTTCACTTCTCCTCTTGTTGAAGCAGAAAGAAATCCCAAAATAGTAACAAAATGAAATGAAAAAAAGTTTATTTAGTTTTGTCTATGTACTAAAGGACACCCCTGTACTAAAGGGTCTAAAAAAAAAAAAAAGGAAAATGCAGTTTTAAGACAAACATTTACTGTTTTTAGAACCAATTAAAAGGATGTTCATGTTTTAAAATTGGTCATTCATAAATTCAACATAAATTAGCAAAAAGCCATTCAAAATTTTTATATATGATAAAAGGAAAAGAAAATTCTCATTCTTTAAATTTGATTACTGTTGAAAGTCTTCTATTTACTACGTTCAGATATATAGTAATCCTCAGATAAAAACAGCACTAAAAGTTCTTTACTCTTACAAATTCTACCATGGTTTTTTAAATGTCTTTAAAAAAAAGTAATATTTTAATTCTGGAGAAGTTTCATTGTCCAATTATTTTAAAATACCATAATATAAATGTATAGATACAGGATTAGATTTGAAAAACAGCAGCAAGATTAATTTGATTCACAAATGTTTGTAAATGTCATACTGAATAAAGGTGCCATTTTTAGCTATAGGATCATACAACAGGTTTGGAATAAAATTATATTAAGCCTTTAAATTACTACTTCTAACTATTTTGTTAAGCTATATTATAACTATGTTGTACAAACTTATATGGCAATGTAATTGTAATAAAAACATTACAAGATACAGAGACAATGCAGGGTTTTTATTCACATTAAAGAAAAGAGTTTTAACTACCCAGTCAAAATTAGGGATGTAAAATTTCAATTATTTGGCTAATTGAATAGTTGATGCAGTTTGCATCAACTATTCGATTAGTTGATAAGGGTGCCTCTGCAGCGTAGCAGCAGCCCACTTCAAAGGCAAAGGCAAAAGCACTGCGGGGAGCACAGGGTGAGTCCCCTGCTGGCCCCATGCTCCCAGCAGCGTTTCAAAGCGGCAGCACTGCATGGAGCCTAGGATTGATGGGGGAAGCCCTGCTGCCCCCGGGCTGCATGTGGCATTTCAAAGCAGCAGCACCACATGGAGCCTGGGGTCTGGACCCAGGCTCTATGTGGCATGGCTGCTTTGAAGCACCCTCTACGCTTTTCCCCTACTTGCTGCTGCTTTCTGACAGAGGCAGCAAGGGGGGGGAGCAACTAGCAAATTAGCGTGTCAACTATCCGATAAGCATTTGCTTATCAGACAGTTCTAATCATTCACATCCATAGTCAGAACATCTTTTAAGCAATGTGGCCACCCAAACTGTTAAAAACATTTTAGCTGGAAATTAAATTAAGTTTACATACTCCTTTCTAAAACCACTAAAAGCCAGAGGTTTGACAGAATAGGTATTGTACAGACAGCAGGAGTGGGAAACTTCCCTAAATGCCACACTAATGTGTTTCATCCCTGATATGGTCATACAACTTCAATTGGGCAACAGAGACTAAACTCTCCTCTCATCACTACATCTTCTATCCCTTTGCTGAGACAGCCTATAAAGTTTGCAATCCATGGTAAATGTTGTGGTCGTGACGTGAACTAGTCACTTGTCCAAATGGATACAGATGAAATGCGCATGATCTCCTTTTCATGCTATCATGTAATTTTCTGATTCCCTTAAGTTCTCTCGTTTATTTTTGATAATCCTTGCAAAAGCAGAGTAAAATTGCCCACTATTCTTCTATCATTATGAATTCTACCTGTAAGTTTAATTCTTAAAATACTTCCATTGCTTTAGAAGTAAGTTCTAAGTGTGATGTAACAAATTTTAAGTTACCTTCCTCATCCTCCTCCAGCCATGGGTGGTGGACTGGGACCACCACCGTGATTTATCCGACCCATTCTACGGCGAGGATTTCCTGGAGGCCTAGTTCGAGAGAGTGGGGGAAAACAGCAGTAAATATTGTCCATCACTATGCAACTCTGGCAATGGTCTTCATCTGGTTCAAATATGTTGTTCCTAAGCTCTCCATTATAATAGCTTGCCCCTTTTTTTTGTCCTGTAGATGTCTGGCTGATAAAAACAAAGCCAAATTGACCCCTTCCATGTGAAAAGCTGTAGGAGGAAATTTTTGACAAGAAAAAGCTCTACAAGAATGCCCTGGTGAAGACTGCTCCAAATTACTCCTTCCCCTCAGAAGTAAAGTTGCCCTCAAATTAACAGATACCAGGTGATGTATAATAGGCTAGGACCATGAAGAGATCCCAAGACACAGACTGCTTACAGATCCAGACTCTTCATAGTCTCCAAAAAATGGCATATATAGGAAGGTTTCTATCTTCATATTTGTGGGCACCCAGGTCCTCCATTCCACTTGGTAGTGAGAGGTTATCTACGTGTAAGCTAAATGTCTGATACATGATATTATAAGCGAGATTTCAGCCAAATAAAATCAAGAAAAATGTAGTATACCTTCCATTACGTACACTTGGAAAATGCTTTTAAATATGAATTAGGATTTGTATTCTTTCATTTTAGGCTATGCAACAGATTAAGAGAGTGAGGGTCCTGTATTATAGAAACTTACATGTCTTAAATTTCTTGGTATGACTTCTCAATTTGTTTTTTAAAGTAAAACATTACAACTCTAATCAGTTTATGCTAAAACATTCTCCTCATATTTAAAAAATATAAACATATGAAGTTGAAGAAAAGCAATACCCTCTGCCATCATCATATCTTGAGTTTGAGGAAGATGTATAGCCTCTCCTTCTCAAATTTGGCTGAACGATGCTCTGGAAGCTAAAATAAAAGAAACAAGAGTGATAGGAGTTGAATGCTAGAAATTAACTGTTTTCCAGAAATGCTGAAATATATGTCAAAACACTGGATGCAAAAGCAACAGTTGTTCAATAATGGAAGCACTATACAGTTAGCACCAGAAAGGATACTTGGGATAATACTAACATGTATTTGGGTATAAGCTGCAGCCCAAGAAAGCCTGTGCCCAAATACATTTGTTAGCCTTTGAGGTGCCACTGGACTCCTCATTGTTTTTGCTGAAACAGACTAACATGAACACCCCTCTGAAACTTGGATAATACTATTTTTCAAGTTACTTGTTACTTCTGAATTTCCAATCTCCTCTTATTCTTCTATTTCTAACTACTTGCTAGAAGCTACTGACTGGGGCATTGCTGCCCCAGGCTTACTTGATATGGATATTTGACTGAGTACTTAGAAATAAAGTCCACCAAAATATACAACCCTTTTTTAGGGTGCATCTGATGAAGTGGGTCTTTGCCCACAAAAGCTCATGCTCCAATAAATCCATTAGTCCATAAGGTGCCACAGGACTTCTCGTTGTTTATGCAGATTCAGACTAACTCAGCTACCCCCTGATACTTGTCACCCCTTTTTTAGCTATCTTAAGAATTAGAAGGAAGTAAGCATGACTAGAATGATAACTATTTATTTGATATGTGCTACAAAATATTAAAATTCAGCTATAACAACTTAGAACCAGTTTTCCCCCAGCTTTTTAGATTCAGACAGATTTTTTTAAAAAAGACAGCCAATCTTCTGCATGAAATGGAACAGAAGACCTAAAATGTGCCTGGGCTACTACCGTGGACATCAACAACGAAGGAGCAACACTACAATACTTCTTTGTAAAATATATACTTTTTGTGTTTGTTTCCTCACGGCAAACAAATTGTTGCTACATTTGGTAACTTGACAATATTTAAGCATTACATGAATACTTACAATAAAACCACAAAATCTGCTATTCCCCAGAAGAAATCTGTTATAAATGACAAACTCCAAGGAGCCCGACTTTGGGTATCCAACACTTGTCCTATAACATATAGGATATAGTAAATACATATTTTTCCATTTTGCATACAATACAATGGAACTTATTCATATTGCTGATTGGCATATTAATGTATCAGCTACCAATAATATTTAAAACTAGAAACAGCAAATATCACAAACAGCGAATTGGCAAATATCAGGGAGAAACTACATTTTACAAATATTGCCACTAACAAGTTTCTTTTCCTATAGTCACATTACACCTTTGTAGAAATAAAACAGCAAAAGCTGATTCACTTATACAAAGGTGAAACACCTTCCTCAAAACTGCACTGCACACAAGGTAAATTAACAATGAAGAACAGTTTTGTTTCTGTGTTTCATATATGAAATACTTTGACTTAGAAAACCACTATTTGCTATCAAAATACATTTACCTAAAATGCTACAGGTTGAACCTCCCTGGTCCTGGACCCCTCGGAACCAGTCACCAGGGGCACAGCACCAAATCTGCAGTTACTTGTGTTGCTTCTGGCTTCCAGTTATAGTTCCAATTGACCTTTTGCTGGCCCCTTCCAGTGCGAGCCAGGGTTAGCCAGGCAGCAGTCCGGTCCGTACAGACCCTTCCCCCATGCTTCGACGTGACGGAAAGGGGCAGGGCTGCGGGCGGGTCCCGCTCCCCTAGAAGCGATCACCGCTGCTTTGGCCCAGGGTGAAGCCCCCTGCACACAGGATGAAGTTTCCCCCCGCCCCGCCCAACTCCTTGGACTCTCCCGGCTTCCCATCCCTTCACCCTCCCCTCGAGTCTCTGTCTCTCTCTCTCTCTCCATCCCGCGCCGCCGCCTCACCGTTCGAAATGTAAACCATCGCCGTCCCTCCGCGCACCGCTGTCGTGTCCCAACTCCTGACTTCCGGGCAGAACTTGTTCCTGTGCGGCTACTGCGCGTGCGCCAGAGAAGCTAGCATGCGCAGTCGCTCTCGCTGAAGGCACTGCCCTGACCAAAACAAACAGGGGTGGCGGTTAAAGGGGGCGGGGCAGACGAGGAGGATCCTCAAGGGGGAGGAGGGCACACGGGCTGGCGTAGGTAGGGGGTGCCCCAAGCTGTGTGCAGAGGAGGGAGTGTTGAAGACTAGAGGATGAGAAGGGAGAAAAGCCCAGGTTAGGGCGGGGTAGAAGCCAGAGAGAAAGATTCCTGTATTGATGGGCGAAGTGGAGCGGGAGGGGGCAGAGTCTGGTGTTTGTGGCTAAGCCCACCTCCCACTGTGACGGAAACAGGTGCCCAATACTTAGCTAAGGCATCACCTGAATGATGCACTGAGCAGCCAGAGGAACTGTAATCGTTGTTCCCCATAATCTTTTCCATACATCTGCAGAATAATTATTGTGTGTGCCAAGGCATATGTAAATGTGTACTATGAATATAAACACAAATCTAGCTGTGGGCGTTCTACTAGTCAGCTGGGTGGCACAAGCACAGGGGAACATTGAGTGGGATTCAGTGAAATAATATACCTATGCACCTTTTTAAACATTTTCATAATTATTGTACACATTTCAGGTGTTGTAAAGAATTCCTTGTCCATAAGTGTTGGTGTCATTTGCCTGTGTACAGCATCATTGCAGCTCACAAACTAATTTTATCTGCTGTTGAATGATGCTTCATTACTTGTATTCCATACTACATGCAATTTTGCTCCTAAGTGGTATTTTTATTACTCTTACTGTCCTTAGCATGTGATTATTTACCTTGGTTAACAGCACACATGGATGTCAGTGTGTTATATCATTTATGTCTTGAATTTGCTGTTAGCTAATCAATTACACCTCAAAATGTTTATAACTTTCTATCTTCTTATGATTTTGCAATTTACAGTTTTTATTTAAAAAATTATATTTTTTTTCTGTGGAATAAGTTTCTTTGTCATCACATGACTTGAGTTACATAATTTCTTAGGGTGTTACCATGACCTTTTTCATTCCCATTGCTCCAACAGTGATGACTGCTTTTATTCACTTTTATTTTTCTTCTCCCTCCAGCAGTGCAATACTTTTTTTTTCACATCACCACTTATGTAGACACCTTACTTCCCAAATATTCACTATGAAAGGCACAGTAACAAGAGTGGCTTGCCCCGTGGGCTGGAAAGCCTGAGGCTCAGCAAACCTGATTACAGAATGATTCCACCTGAGGGGACTCAGACATATAGTTTACAGAGGGAAGAAAGCTGATACAGTAATGGGAATACAAGTTAGGCTTAACTAGGGATAAAGCTCAGCTGGGGGAAAGAAATGTTGAGCGAGAGAAGCGAACAAAAAGTTCAGTTGGTAAAGAAGAGCTCTTTAGGTAGGGAAATCAGGGAAAGTTCCTGCCCAAATAGGGAAGAGATTAAGAAAAAACTGTTCAAGCAGCAAAGTCTGGAAGAGACCCTGAATAAGCAGAGATACATTTTCCTCTGTAAGAGCCTCTCTGGGAAGTAGGTCAGGGAAAACTGTAGCCCCAGTAAAAGACACACAGCTAGCTGTTTAGCATAGGGTCCTATGTTAGAACCCAGACTAGATGGTGGAACTTCTCCTGCACTCAGGGGCTATGTCTACACTCGTGGCTTCTTGTGCGAGAAATATGCAAATGAATCATGGAATATTGCTGTGCCTCATGTAAGGTAGAAATGTAATATGCAAATAATTAAATGTAAATGCAAAATGTTTGATGTAAACCCAATGTGTGTCACCCTGTACAGTATAGAACTGATGTTATTGATAGACATATATAGACCAATCCACTCATTTGTAAAGTTTGTAACCTTGAAAATATGTAAAGTTTTACAATGTCCCAAAATGGAGTCTGAAACTCCATTTTGAGTTTAGAACTTTTCTGGTAGCATCCATTTGAGTAATGCATGCTGTCACATCCACAGGTAGCAGTTAGAGTTTAAAACCAGCAACTCACCTGCCTGTTAGAATAAGAATAACTTATGAATATTCATTAGCATCTTCCATCAACCAATCAATTTGAACCATGCTATGATAGCATTTCTATCGACCAATCATTTTAAAAGTAGAACAGTCATGAATATTCATGAGCCCTGAGTATAAAAGCTTCTGCTACGCAGCAGTTACCTGTTGCGTCGGGGCGTCAGGCTTAGAGATGGGTCTTAGGTGAAGAGAGAGAGAGAGAGAGAGAGAGAGAGAGAGAGAGAGCAAGGTTCTAGATACTCTTGTCCTAGGTCTAGTATGAGTGAGGTCCTGTAAAGGTTATTTTTCGGAGAAGCTGACGAAAGGTTATGCTTCCTCCAATTCAGTAAATTTAAGTCTTAGAGTTAGGCTGACGGAAGGTCAGACCTCTACATTAGGTAGCTTAGGTAGTATAATATCTAGATAGGTTAGTTTTCGTCGAGCCTGTATGTCAGGTCGCGTCGGTCAACGCATGTCAGCCGTCATCGAGTTTGTACGTCGGGCACATCGGGTTTAGATAAGGTTTTTCCTTTTAGAGTAAGATTAGGATAGTTAAGGTATAGAGTCTAGCATCCATCGCCTGATCCAGCCGCACCGAAGTGCGGAGAAGGGATCGTGAGGACCAGAAGACTTAGTGGAAGACGAATCTACCGTCATCGCTCTCTACTCACACTTTGAGGGATCACCTTGGTTGTTCCTCCCTGACGGCTTTCAATTAGCCCAAAGGTTGTAGGTGGCCAAGCACCGGATCAGCCGATGAGGGACACCTGGCAGGTCCTCCACAAAGGCTTCCAATTAGCCCTAGGGTTGTAGGTCACCAGCGCCCATCAATCGTCTCCGTCACCGTAGACTCTGTAGTAGGTATAGGGGCCTGGAGGGACTGCCCCCTCATCTGTTCATTCGAGGTATTGTTTTGTTAAATTGTTCGTCTTTAATAATATAGTCTTGTGGTTGTCAGTTACAATACACGTCTCCAGTTTTTATTTACGCGTCCTATAAATCTAAGATTGGCACTCCCGGTGATCAGATACGGATTTGAGGGTCACTACCTTATATACCATCCCTTGCGGATGAGCCGAGTTATTAGATAACTCTCGGGGAAGTTGTCCTCATTGGCATACTCAATGAGCTGCCATTTTTGCAGAAGAGGCTCTTGCGCCAGAAGGAGCTGGCTACACTGCCCCTTCTTGTGCAAGAAAAACCCTCTTGTGCAATGTCACTATTCCTGAAAATTATCGTCGTAGCGGCATTGCACAAGAGAGTTTTTGTTGTGCAAGAAGGGGCAGTGTAGACGCTCCCTCTGGCTCAAGAGTCTCTTCTGCAAAAATGGTGGCTCATTAGGTACGGAAATGAGGCTCGGCGATATTTGACGCTTAGCCTCATTTGCATATTTCTCATGCAAGAATCGGAGTATACAAGCCCACCCCAAGAGTTATTGCCCCCTAACAAGAGGTATAGGGACTGAGTTGAAGACTGGGTGAGGAATTCCAGAGAGAGGCAAAGGATTTTTGTTTGTATTTAAATATGCTTTTGGGGACTTTCAATCTGGACAGCTGTGAACCCAGAAGGAGTGGATTTAGGAGGGTGACTTGGTTGAAGGGCAAGGTCACTGGAAGTGGAAGAGCGACCACAAGCAGAGAGAGGTGCTATGCCAGCCTGAAGATGAGTGGGTGCCTAGTGGTGAGTTGACTTGGTTACAAAAACTACATTATCTTAGTTGAAATTTCTCCTGGTGATAAACTTTGGTTTATGTATATGTGTGTGTATGAAGTTAGGCACTTGTGGGTTTTTTTTTCTGGATAACTTATTTTATAAGTTGATTGTACAAAAGTGATACCTCTACCAAAGAATCCTTCTATCTTAAATGTTACGACAGGTTGGACCTCTCTTGCCCAGGCCCGAATAGGGATTTCAGGACCAGTGAAGGTTCCTCCCAACATGGCTCATGGTGTCCTTCTGCCTGCCCTGCCCTGGCTGCCTCCGGGGATAGAGCTCTGTAACTGGAGCTTTGTGGCTGGGGCTGGAGCTCTTCAGTGGCTGGAGCTCTCCCAAGCTCCACTGCTGGGGCTAGGGTTGCCAGGTGTCCAGTATTGAACTGGACAGTCTGATATTTTCATCTTCTGTCCGGTAAAAATATTCAGAAAATATTGGACACCTAAAATGTCTGGTATTTTCTGATTTTTTTTTCCCCAGTCAGGAGGAAAAATCCTGGGTGCTTACTGGGTTCTGCAGGGGAGCTGTCTGGCCCGGTACAAGGAGGCAAGATGGCAGACAGCAGCCTGTTAGGGCTGAAAAGCCTCAAAGGTGTTTCTTAAAGGGGCCATGCTGTTTTTTAATTTTTTTATTTGTTTAACAACTCTCAGGGTCCTTTTTTTTTTTTTTTTGGTATTTTTTCAGAAACCATCTGGCAACCCTAGCTGGGTCCAGAGTTCCACAGGTGCTGCTGCTGGGTCCTTGCTACCACTTGGCTGCAGGAGCCAGAGCTCCCTGCCGTGCTGCCCATCCCTCCATGTCCTGCCCCCTGGTTGAGTCTCCACACCCCCTTTGCCACTCCTGGCCCGAGGTCCAACCTCCCTATACCTGGGCTCTGTGGTCCAGGAACATTTGTGGTCCAGTAGCTGGACTAGAGAGTCCTGCTCAAGGGAGGTATAACCTGTACATACTTGTTACTACAAACACTATGTATTTGGTTTTCCAGTTATCACGTAAGTTTGTTTTCCCTTGATTTAAAAAAACCAAAACCAAACCTGTTTTAATGAATTACCTTTTACTGCAAACTCTTAAGCATGTGCTGCTTCACTTGAAAAATTATGATAGTAATAAACTATTTAATGATTACAGTCTGTAATGTTTAAAGGAACCCATACTATAACTTGAAACTGGATAATGAATAGCTATTACAAAGAAAGTATATGTTAATTAGTTAAAATTATATATTTACACTTTATATCTCCCTTATGTACTAAGAAAACATAAAACATAAGATTCTTGAGAATTGGGAAGTTTTTTTTTTTATACTTTGCGTATTGTTTCAGCATGAAGGCATTTTGGATAAATTTGATTTAACAAAACTGTTAAATAACAAGAATAAAATCAGCACATACCTGTACATAATACTGACCTCATAAGGACTACACACTGTTGAAGACTTGGGCGTGTGATTAAGCATTTGTTAAACATGGGCATGTAGAAGGGTATGAAGTTGTATGTAATACAGGGCATAACTAATCACATCACATATGC